CGTGTTTGTTTTTATGACAGGTTTTGATAATGCCAAACCGCCGTGATCAAGTCAAACTTTGAATATACAAGGCGAAGAAGGAAGACAAGAACAAGAGCTAAAAGAAGACCAAGAACGAAGACCTTAGTCTTAGTGTCGTTGAGTCGGTCTTCATTGTGATCAAGACCGACCCAATCTTTACACCTTGGCTCTTTAGGCTAAAAACCTTCATTGCACTTCTTAAATCATAAAAATGTTTTTCAAACATGTTTAAGTCATTAAAAACACTTGGTGTTCGCCCAAACCAAAAACCAAGCCATCCGGCGTTCGGGTTTCAGAAACTGGCGTTCGGCTCTCGGTTATCGGCTATGGTTTTTGGCGTCCGAACCAACCAAGTGGTTTTCAACTTTTTATGATTGGTTTTTACTCTTTGGCATGTTTAAACGGTTCTCCAACAAAAACACCTTGAAAACCATCTTTCGCTTTTGGTCGTTTGACAAAAATCATTCAAAACGGCATAAAACTTGGCTAGCCGTGGTTTTCACTTAAATGACGTGGTTTTTAAAGTGTCTTACTCGATTTATTAGCCAAATACATCAAATAAGTGTTTTAAACACTTGGTTTTTATTTTGGAGAACTTTGAATTTTTCGGTCGGGTTTCGCATCGGTTGGCTAGGCCGTGGTTAAGGCAAAAACCATGGGTTCTTGACTAACCACTCACCCAGCGATGGGAAGATCTTCCCATCGATGGGTAAGCGGCCCCTCAGCCAAACCAGTTTCCAGAACCATGCAAAACAGCGATGGGGAGTTCCACCCATCGCTGTTAGAGCCTTGGTGCAAAATTACCACAAGGCAGAACGACCTTGCCCAGCGATGGGAAGTCTATCCCATCGATGGTAAGGGTATACCATCGATGGGAACGCATGACCGTTGGTGGTCATTAAAGGTTGATTCTTTCCTTGTTTGGAAGTCAACCTCCCACCCAGCGATGGGAAGCTTGTACCCATCGATGGGTAGGTGACCGCTGACTTCAAAACAGAAGAAAAATTGGCTTACCAGCGATGGTTGATTCTAAACATCGATGGGAAGCCAATATTCTGCAGATCCCAAATGTTTTCAATCCCATAAATCAAGCCAATCACCCCTTTAATGCATTGGTCCGTTGGAGCCTTCTTTGGCACTATAAAAAGGGGTGTTTGGGTCTGCTTTTCTCACCAATTCACTTCACAACATCTATACTTTCATTGCATTCAAATATCATCATTTTCCATAGCTCTCTAAAGCCACTTGTGTGAAGGTTGAGTTGTTCTTGAGCGTACTTAGTTTACTCATAATCTACTCTATAAGAGAGTCTCGTTCTTGAGTGTACTTGTGTTCTTAGACACGTTGAGAGATATTATCTCTCTCGGTTGATTCAAAGGAAGGTCTGTTTCATTTGAAGGACTCGTTGAGGTTCGTGTGACTCGAACTCTAAAGTTGTAACGGTTTGTTAAGCACCCGTAAGCTTAACGAGTTAGTAGTGTAGCTCGAGAGAGTCTCTCGGGAGGCTGGATTAGCCACAAGTTGTGGTGAACCAGGGTAAAATTCGGTGTGCCTCTTACTCTTCTCTTTACTTCTCTTTTAAATTTTTAATTCCTGCGATTTCTACGACAAACGCTATTCACCCCCCCCTCTAGCGTTGGTCTTTTATTCTAACATAGGCTTTAGGTGTAACGCCCTGTTACCCGGTCTAATAGAATTGATTAATTTAATTAAGTAATTACTGTTTCGTACCAGAGTTGGGGGAAATTAAAAGTTGTTAGAAAAATTATTTGATCATATCATTAAATTTGTTTTGAATGTCTTATTCCAGAAACGCAACCGGATCTCAATTCAAACTCACTCGGGGGAAAAAGCGCGTACCGTTCAGGTCAGATTCTACATTACGGAGTAAATAAATTTTGTAACTCCCCTAAACCCTTGATTCGGCCCCCTCAACACCACCATTACTCTCATTCATTAGGCTCCATAATCCACCATTAAAACTCCATCATTTCCCCTTCCATCACCTCCCATTTTGTAACCCCCAAGAATTCACAATCCTCACACACACACACACTCTCTCTCTCTTACTTTTGGCCAAGGCAACAGCAGCCAGGGAGGTCTCCGGCGAAGCTCTGGTGGGTGCACGGTTGAGGGAGAAAGAAGGAAAGAAGAGCTAGGGCGTTCATGCGAAGCGTAGTCGTCGCTCGTCCGTTCGTTGGCACCATTCGTTCATCTCATTCCATCAGTCCCTTCGTTTAGAGGTGAGTAGTCGTCCCTCTAATGCTAGAACATTTAGTTATAATCTATGTCGTTATATTCGTAGGAATATCGTACGCAACCTACGTAGAATCTATGCATATTCGTAGGTTAACCATCCAACATACGTGTGTCCATGTTATCAAGTTAAGTGCTCGTTAATATAAATGTTTTGAAACCTTGTAAGTCTATCGATATCTAGCATGGAAATATAAACATTCGTTTCTAAAACTTCCAACGTTTTGATAACAAACAAACAGATATAATGGAAGTCAGTGTGTCTTGATAATCGAGCTACAGAATAGTACAATCGACTGTCAGGCCACGGTGGACTCCTTAGTTGATTCAGCACGGCGTGATAATCGATTATCACATATGCGATAATCGACGATCAGGCCCTGCGGATTCCTGGGTCTGAGTTGGCTTCACTGATAATCGATTATCACACAGGCAATAATTGATTATCAGGTCTCTCTGAACATAGGACATTCCAGATAAACCAACTTGACAATCGATTGTCATAGGGTGACAATCGATTATCAGAGTCTGCAGGACTTTGGGGACAGAAGCTGCACAACATGATAATCGATTATCAACAACAGACAATCGATTATCAGCCAGTTCTGAACCCAGGGCCATCATATTGAACAAATCGTAATCAAACACATATGTATGAATTGAATTTAACTCTCTTCTTTAATCAATGCATTCATTCCATCATGTTCGTTCTAGACGAATGTTCTAGGTTTTTATCATGTGCATACCACTGTAGGGAGGACTTCGTGCGCCTACTACAGTGGGCCCGTCCAGGAACCTTTGGGGACCAATGGGTTTTCATCATGTTGGGCTTGTGTACGTACATAGTAGTTAGGTTAGGGCTACTACCCGATTTTGCTAGTCCACTCGCGATATTTTCGTCGTGCCCGGCTCGTTACCGTTAGGGGACGATGACCAGAGTGCAGGGGTGATCCTGTCGAGTGAGACTAAGCCAGGGGTGTCCCTGATAGTTTAAGTCATGCATCAAGTCATATCATCATCATTATGTTCCTTGTTATTCGAAATAGCTTTAACAGGTGAAAACTAAACAGTTAGTAACGTGTGGTTTCCCGTACGTTAAGTACAGGTATTGATATGGGTATAGCCATATGGGTTATCACTTCATGTTCTTTTGTTAGATTCACTCCTCAGCTTTGGCTGAGTGTGTAGTTGTTTTTGCTACACGCAGGTAGACATGACGGAGCAGGTGCCAACCCTGGAGAGCGGTGACGATGGGGAGATGGGCGGCGCACGGACGAACTCTTAGTTACTTTCAATAACTTCATTAATCAATTGGGCATGAACCCACCCTTGTCATTATTTGATTTGGACTGGACTTATTTATTTACTTCCGCATTTACTCTGCACATTTACTACACATGCTTTGGGAGTAACTCCTTGGCATTTATTCTCTAATTAAAACACAACCGTTTTCTTATTAGATAATCATTAATGTTTTTGTAACAGATGGTTTTCGGACGGTCCTTGTAACCTTGCCGGTCTGTCAGGTCGCGGGTGAACCGGGTCCACGGAAGGCAGGTGTTACAATTTGGTATCAGAGCAGTTCGGTTTTTGAAAAAAAACATATCTTGTCATCTTGTTCAAAAGGTATTTTCAAAAAGTCTACAGCCGCATCTCCCATCGCATCACTCCGAGGGAAAGGTACACCGTTATTTAGATCACGTGAATGTCATATTATAATTAGTTCTGATTTAAGTTATTCCTTTAGAGAATGAGTCAAGCAGCTGGCAATGACGGACAGGAGGTCCCAGAGGAGGAGCCTGATTACGTGAGCGTGCACACTGAAGTGTTGAGCTTCACACCTCAACAAGCCTCCGAGCAGGCGGTCCCGGACGTGGGCCCTATACCGGAAGCCATCCCTATCGTCCAGCCGCAGTTCGCGGCTAACTTCATGAACTTCCTCTAGCAGATGGCTGGAGCTTACGTGCCACCACCGCCGCCACTAGTGGCGGTGGTCACCATTGAGAAGCTCCGAAAGAATGGAGCTGAGGAATTTATGGGAGATCAGATCGCCGACCCCATGATTGCCAAACGGTGGTTTGAGCGAACCATCTGAGTGTTGGAGAACCTGAGGGTTCCACAGGAGCAGCGTGGCGACCTCGCAGTCGCATTACTTTAGGATTTTGCCTACGACTAGTGGAAGCGTGTGGGAGCAGACGTCCCGGAGCCCGTGCAATGGGCCACATTTGACCGACTCTTCCACGAAGAGTACATCCCTGAGCACTTCGTTGAGGCGAAGCGGGAAGAGTTTTTGAAGTTCACCTAGGGTGAACTCACACTGCCTGAGTATCGTTAGACGTTTGACGAGCTCGCGGGGTTTGGGCAAGACCCCGTACCGACCGTGGAGAAGCGATGCAAACGCTTCGTGGAGGGTTTACGTCCCGACCTTTCAACCCATCTGATCATTGCTCCCCGGTGTGACATCAACGCGTTGTACAAGAATGCGTTGGATTTGAATGCGGCCGTCATCAAGAAGGCTGAGTATGAGCAGACGCTAGGAGCGTCAACGACACCATCTCGTCCTCCTCCACCCTAGAAGGCGGTGACCAGCAGCAAGAGGTCCTTTACAGCGCCGAGCAGCTCTCACCAGAGCAAGAAGGTGAAGTCAGCCCCAGCTCAGTCATCTGCGTCCGTACAGAAGAAGGGCAAGAGCGGAGATGGGTTTCGCAACCCGATTTGCGACCATTGTGGGCGCAGGCACCCAGGAGAGTGTTGGTACACTCTTGGCTTGTGCCTTGGATGTGGCCAGCCCGGGCATTTCCGAAAAGATTGTCCGAAGAATCTGGGTGAGGCATTCTCGACCGCACCAGCCGCTCCAGCCCCAGCAGCGCATCCCGCCTAGAGTCAGAAGTCGGCGGCAGCATCTAGCCAGCCCAAGCGGCAGGCATCTGGCGCACAGGCGGGGAAGGCCCCGACCCGTACTTACGCGATGCGAGGGCGTACCGAGCAGCTAGCCCATGATGTCATCATGTGTGTGTTTACCTTATTCGATACATCTATTGCAGCTTTGATTGATCTGGGTTCCACTTTATCATCTGTTTGTATGCCTATGCCTATTATGCCTAACCTTCCGAGGGAAAATTTAGATAATCCGGTATTAGTGTCCAACCCATTGGGACACAGTCTACGACTCACCCATGTGTATCACGATTGCCCATTATTGGTCTAGGGAAAGATTTTCCCTGCGAGTCTCATTGAGCTTCCACATCGTGAGTTTGACGTTATTCTAGGCATGGATTGGCTCACCGCCAACCAAGCCGTTGTTGACTGTGGAGCTCATACTGTTCGACTCAGAGCCGAAGACGGTAGTGATGTACTGATCCATGGTGAGCTTCTTCCGAAAGCTCCAGAATTTATTTCCTATATTCATGCTCGTCGACTCATACACAAGAAGTGTGAAGCATTCTTGTGCACAGTGCATGACACTCGTTAAGAGGCGCCTAGTAGGGGGGACATCCCTGCGATATGTGACTTTCCTGATGTGTTTCCAGATGACTTACCTGGTCTACCACCCGCTAGGGAGGTAGAGTTTTCCATTGATCTTGTTCCAGGAACAGGACCGATCTCGATCACACCTTATCGCATGGCGCCTGCGGAGATGAAGGAGCTAAATGCTCAACTGCAGGAGTTGCTGGATAAGGGCTTCATTCGTCCCAGTGTGTCCCCTTGGGGAGCACCGGTTATGTTCGTCCGCAAGAAGGACGGATCGATGCGGTTTTGCATCGATTACCGTCAATTAAACAAAGTCACCATCAAGAATCGCTATCCGTTACCACGTATTGACGATTTGTTCGACCAGCTTAGAGGAGCCACGATTTTCTCTAAGATCGATCTCCGGTCAAGATACCATCAGATCCCCGTTAAGAAGGAAGATATTCATAAGACGGCTTTCTGCACCAGATACGGTCATTATGAGTTCACGGTCATGCCTTTTGGGTTGACTAATGCACCGGCAGTGTTCATGGATCTGATGAACAGTGTGTTCCGGAAGCATCTTGATCAGTTTGTTGTGGTCTTCATTGATGACATCTTGGTGTACTCAAAGACACAGGAGGAGCATGCCGGGTACTTACGCATTGTCTTGAGCATTCTTCGGGAACAGCAGCTTTATGCCAAGCTTTCCAAGTGCGAGTTCTGGCTGCACGAGGTTACCTTCCTCGCCCATGTCATCTCGGATGAAGGTGTGAAGGTAGATCCGTGCAAGATAGCCGCGATAACGGAGTGGAAGACTCCGCGTAATGCACGAGAGGTGAGGAGTTTTCTCGGACTGGCAGGTTACTATCGCCGGTTCGTGAAGGACTTCTCCAAGATGTTAGAATAAAGGCCCAACGCTAGAGGGGGGTGAATACCGTTTAAAACAAAATCACAGGAAACTAAAAACGAGAGCGTTAAAGTAAAGAGCGTAAGGAAGGAACACACCGAATTTTATCCTGGTTCACCACAACGTGTGGCTAATCCATCCCCCCGAGAGACTCTCTCGAGCTACACTAACTCCGTTAAGCTTAAGGGTGCTTAACAAACCGATACAACTTGAGAACCCGAGTCACACGAGCCTCAACACCTTTGCTCGGAGATACCGCACTCCAAGACTTCTCACGAAGGAACAAGGAACTTCTTTCGAGTTTACAACAAGGGAACAACCTCCCTTAAAGTGTATGAAAACACTTAAACACTCAGGATTAAAACTCTCACAAAGAGTAGATATGAGTGAACTACTAAACGCTCAAGAACACAACAATTTCTTCAAGAATTGGCTCTCAAATAGCTAAGAAAAATAGGAATGCTTATGCAATGAAAGAGTATTGAAATGTTTAAGAATTGTGTTTGAAATGAGAGGATTTGGGTGCCATTTTATAGCCCAAAATGGGATAAACCCATTGCTAGAATTTCCAACAGGATGAAGACAAATTTTTCAGGGACACAGGCTGATAGTCGATTATCAAAGCTTGATAATCGATTATCCAAAGATTCCCTGTCCAAAAATTTAAAACTCTATCCGTTGGAGGACAACGGTAACCCAGATAATCGATTGTCAACAAGTGATAATCGATTATTGGTCCTCTCAGAAGATTCTGGGTTTTGGCTGCAAAGACTGATAATCGATTATTGCATAAGTGATAATCGATTATAGCGTGCTTCAGAACTTTGGATGTTCAAAGCTGCAGGGGCTGATAGTCGATTGTGACTAAGGTGATAATCGATTATCACCCAGCTAAAGTCTAGCCAGCTGAAACTCGTTTTGAAAAACCGAGGTCCAAAAACGAAGTGTTCCCAAAAGTAAAAACCAGGTTTGGAAAATATTGTATATGGTATAAAATAGTGAAAACAAGACTTGTTTGGTAAAAACCAAGTCTCCAAGGTCGTATAATACGTGCGTACGGTTTAGACCGTTTTTCACGTGTTAGACCGATTGACCAAGATACAAAAGTGGTTTTTATAAAATAATTATTTGGGATCATTTTAAAAATGCTCAGAGGTAAAAACAGGGTTTAAAATATTGAAAACCACGGAGTTCGTTCGGGCGCCAAAAACCGAACGCCGAAAGCCGAACGCCGAAAGCAGAACGCCGACTTAGGTGGTTTTGGTTCTGAGCAAGGACCAGGGATTTTATCAATAAAAGAAATCATCAAAAAATGTTTGTTTTGATGCACAAAAAAATATTTTATGATTTGTAAAAATTGTTTTGAGTTTTTGAGAACCGAGACTTGAATTTTGACTCTTTGAGAACCGAGACTTGAATTGATTATCGGTTTTGATCACAAAAGACCGACTCGACTAAGTCTTCAATTCTTGATCTTGTCCTTGAGTATTTTAGGTCTTGTTCCAAGCCATTCTTCACACCTTGAGTTATTCAACGAAACTCTTTATATCCACGGCGGTTTGGCAATTATCAAAACCTGTCAGAAATAAACACGATTTTAGTTTATCGTACAAAGTGTGTTCCAACAATTTCCCCCTTTTTGATAATGGCAAACAAGACGGGGATATGCATAGGGTTTTGATCTTTTTGAAAAAAATTCCCCCTTAATATATGCATAGCCCTTATCTTCCCCCTTTTGACATTAACAAAAAGATTTTTGATAACAAAAACCATAAAGATTTTTATTAATTAAGGGAAATAGCGGAGTACATGACGGAAGCAAATTTAAAAAGCATAAAAAGAATAAAGAAGAGAAAGGAATAGAGCTAGAGCTCTAGAAGTCCGGTGAAAGATCATTGAGAAGTAGGTCTTCGTCAATGTCTTCTTCTTCTTCTTCATCTTCATCACCATCGCCATCATCATCATCCTCATCATCATCGGCTTCTTCTTCCTCTTCTTCTTCCTCTTCCTCATCGTCCACCTCTTCATCTCTACCAACGTTCTGAGTCCCACTTTGTTCACCTCCGAAATTCGGTGGAGGAACGTAAGGGACCATTTGGGCGTATGGGTAATTGACAAAGTCAAAATATCCGTGAAGTTCACGGCTCAAGGTATTGACGTTGTGTTCCGTTTTGGAGACGTTGGTGTCAATCCGAGAGAGAGTGGCGGTCAAGGCTGCCATTTGCTCGGCGAGAGAAGGATTGGTCGAAGTGGTGGCGGTTGAGGCACTGGCTCTCGGTTGGCGGCGTGGACGAGGCTGTCGAAACGGAGTCTCGTCGGTGCCCGAGTGAAAAGAAGATTCATCAATCTCCCAATGCTTTGTCCCCTTTATCTTTGGCCCAACATCGGTTTTGATGTTATACTCTACAAGAATCGCCATGACGAGGAGGGCGTAGGGGAGCGGCCGGTTGTCGAAGGTGGCGTTGAACATGTGGCTCATCACAAATTTACACCAATTGATATTGGTGTTGTGAATCATCGCATGGATCGTCTTCGTGTCTTCTTGGGAGAGAGTGGTGTGGTTGAACTTCCTGGGCTTGAGGATCCGTGTCAAAACATAAAAAATGAATCGAAACATGGGACTCATGGAAGCAATCGTAGGGCGCCGCTGTTGGGGAGTGGGGACGAAGTGTCGGATGCCCACTTTCTCCAAGAGGGCGGTCTCATTGAACCACACTCCTTCTTCTCCGACGTAGAGCCCAAGATCCTGTCCGTCCCGACGAAGCCTTGTGAGAATTTGAATGTTTTCCTCATTCAAATAGATGTCCACCCCGTTGACGTTAGAGATCAACGCTCCGTCCTCATCCTTTTTCAAGTTCGAGTAGAAAGCTCGAACAAGAAAGGGGTGATAATTGACCTTCTTGATGTAGAGGAGGTCGAGGATAATCCGTGCCTCACGTGGAATGGAGTCATGAATGAAGCGGGCGGTGGAGAATCAGGGAGGGAGAATCTCCCGGTGCTCAAATTTCTCCGAGAACCGTGTCGCCTCTACGTGGTCGTTGAACCAATGGAACGACCCGTCGAGGTATTGGTGCGCCGGTGGTGGAGGAGCCGAGGAAGAAGCCACGTTCTTGTCGGTGCGGGATCTTTTTCTTTGACCTCCTGCCATATCAACAAAGAGTAGGGGGCAGAGCAAGAGAAAATTGCAGAAATTTGGAAAGAAAATGAAGAATAGGAGCAAGAATGATGAATTATGATGAATATATGGAGAAAGTATGATTTGAGTGAGTATAAAATGAATAGAGATCACCAATTTATAGAGTAGAAGCCATGGAGATTCGTAGAGGTGGTCAAACATGCATTAATTGCTCTCCAAACGGCTAGAAAACGGTCAGATTTTTGAAAATCTACCGTTGTAAATCGATTTACATAACCTGTAAATCGATTATCTAGGTTTTCAGATTCTCCGCCGAAGGAACTGCAGGCTGCGATAGTCGATTTACACAAAACGTATAATCGATTGTCGTGGTTTGCGCCTGATTTGCTTAAAACTTCTGCGGACAATGATAGTCGATTATCCTAATGTTGATAATCGATTACTGGCTCCTTCAGTTTCTGCTCCAAATTTCAGCGGGCTGTGATAGTCGATTGTCACAAGCGTGTAAATCGATTTACACCAAGTCTGGAGACAAAAAAATCGATTTGCTTTGTTCCCCCTGACTTTGACACCTGAAAGTAAAATTAAAAAAGAGCCCTGCAAAAAAAAATTAAAAACGTCTCCGACGTTCAAGTTAGTAAGGATCAAAAATAATAATGCACAACTTAGATCATCGTGGAGTCAAGGATTCCGAGTTCACTACGAATGCAGAAGAACGACTCTTTCTCTAAAGGTTTTGTGAAAATGTCAGCTAATTGGTTGTGTGTTTCAACCAACTCAATTTCGACATCACCTTTGAGAACATGATCTCTAATGAAATGATGCCTAATGTCAATATGTTTCGTCCTTGAGTGAAGAGGGACGTGATCGATACTAAGGCCATAATCCACAAGTTGTTGCTTCATCCAAAGGATTTGAGCACAACAACTACCGGCGGCAACATATTCCGCTTCGGTTGTAGATAACGCAACACTCACTTGCTTCTTGCTAAACCATGAGACTAAAGAACTACCAAGCAAGTGACAAGTCCCACTCGTACTCTTACGGTCTAATCTATAACCGGCAAAGTCCGAGTCGGAATAGCCAAAAAGATGACCAGGAGACCCCTTGGGGTACCATAGTCCAACGTTCATTGTACCAACAAGATACCTCATTATCCGTTTCACCGCCGTTAAATGCGATTCTTTCGGACAAGATTGATACCTTGCACATAAACAAACGCTAAACATGATATCGGGTCTACTAGCGGTAAGATAAAGAAGGGATCCGATCATACCTCGATACTTCTTTACGTCTACTTCCTTACCCTTTTCATCTTTTTCCAAGTTCTCGGAGATGCTCATTGGAGTAGCCATTGCTTTGGAGCCATCCATTTCAAATCTCTTTAGGAGCTCCTTGCAATACTTTGATTGACAAATGAAGGTCCCTTCCCTCATTTGTTTGACTTGTAACCCCAAGAAGAAATTGAGTTCCCCCATCATGGACATCTCAAATTCATTTGTCATTAAGTTTGAAAATTCCTTGCACAAAGATTCGTTAGTAGCAC